GCCGTGGAATGAATTCCTTTATTAGAAGCAATGCTGTGTGGAATAGTGGATGAGGTGGATAAGGCAGTCTGTAAATGATGGATGGATGGTAGTTTTGGGAGAAGCACTATATGTAGGGAAGGCAAATCTGTATGCAGAGTATGAGTCTGCGCCCTGCATGGTGAAAGTTGTCTGATGTAATCAGTCTGCCCCCAGCTAGCTGATCGATCACCCTGGAGATCGGTGCCATACTGGGGACTCCGCACTGGTTTCTGTTGCTGGCACATTCAGCACTCAGCAGTGGCTGCAGCCAGATAGGTGTTGGTGCCAGAAGTCCCCTTGCTGCGTCCAAGCATGACCTCCATCTCTGCCACGTGCTCATGAGCCTATTGGGCAATGGCAGTGTGGCTGGGGAGAGAGGCTGACTAGCCACCTTCTCTACTTGAGAGCAAAAGCCCTTTTTTGCTGAGGTCACCCCTCCTTGAGGATTCACATGGACACAAATATCTTCCTGCTTTTTGCATATTCAGAGAAGTCTATCTACATTTCTCTTCCCCAGATTTTCCTGTCACTATTTTTTCAATTATGTTCTTTCAAATTCCCTGACCATCCAGCCAAACCATTGACAAAAGCTCATGAATCAGCACATATTCACTTGTCGGACCATTTCTCCACGCAATCGAAGTGGACAATGATGTGTATGTGTTGAAATTCTGCCCACTGGGAGTATTTCCCGCCACCACTGCCTGGAAATGTCCCAGAGAGGAGTTGTGGTGCTTCAGCTGTCCACTTTTGGGTGGTGCCTGCATATCATGCAGAACCATCTCTAAACCAAGTCCGGGATTTCACTACCGCTGTCAACCAATTGTAGTGAACTCTTGTGAAGGCAGCGTAACAAGAGCGGGGACCATGGGCATCTGGGCCACTTCGTATAACCTGTGCCTTCTGGGCTTGCCTGGGCCCTGCACATGTAAGACAGTTCATTTTGGTGAGGGAGGACTATTGTGCATGCCCAACTTTACAGCTTAGTAGATCAGATACCATCCAGTTCACAATGGGCAGCTCAGGTTGTATGGTAACTGGCAGGCTCATGGTTAAGCATTCAGATCTACTAAGGCTGAGTAACAGGCCAAAAGCTGTTTCTCAAAGTAGCACAGTTACTTGTTGTGGAGAGTGAAGTTTTACTCCTACATTCTAAGGGCTTGCACTACAGTTTGCCTTTAGGAATGTGCTGATGGCTGCAAACAGCATCCCTATCTGACACTTCAAACACCATGGATCTGCTCGATGATGTGGCCTAAGGTTCTCAGTAGACTGCACAGTAGCCTGAAGCAATTACACGGTCTTCCACTGTTTGAGGCTTCACTTAAAACTAGCAGCTTTTCAAGTCACATGGCAAAAGGGCCAGAGTAGCAAACCCAAATGAAGAGTATGTTGTCTCTAACATCCAAAGACACCCACCAGACATTGTGCCCTTTCTTGGTTGAAGGAGAGGCTAGAAAAAAAAAAAAAAACTAAAAGATTTTGGATATTAGTTCTTTGTTGAATATACAGTTTGAAAATATATTCTTCTGTTCTATAGATTGTCTACTCTGTTGATTATTTCTTTGGTTGTGCAGAAATTTTTTTAATTTAAGTCCCATTTATTTATTTTTGGGACAAGGATACTCACTTCTATGATATATTCATTTTTTAAGTCTTATTTATAATTGTTTTGCCTAAGCCATTGTAGAAGATTTTCATATATTTTCTTCAAGAATTTTTATGGTTTCGGGTCTTACCTTGAAATCCAGCTTGAGTTCATTTACATATATGGTGGGAGATAGCAATCCAGTTTCATTCTTCTGCATGCAACTATCCAATTTTCTTGGCACCATTTACTGAATGGGGTGTCCTTTCCCCAGTGTTTGTTTTTGTCTGCTTGGTCAAAAAGCAGTTGGTTATAAGAAAAATCACAAATTAATAACCTAATGTCACCCCTCAAGAAACTAGAAAAAGAAGAGCAAACCAAATCCAAAGCTCACACAAGAAAAAAAAAACACACAAGATCACAATAGCACTTATCAAAATGAAAACCAAGAAAAGCAATACAAAGTATCAACAAAACAAAAAGTTGGTCCTCTGAAATGATAAATCAAATCAATAGACCACTAGCTAGATTTACTAGAAACATAAGACAAAGGATTCAAATAAGCTCAATCAAATTACAAAGGAGACATTACAACTGATACCACTGAAATACAAAATATCATCTAAGACTACTATGAAAACCTCCACACACACAGACCAGAATATCTAGAGGAAATGGATAAATTTTTGGAAACATGCAACCTCCCAAGCTTGAATCAGGAAGAAACAGAAATCTTGAACAGACTAATGTAACATGTAGCAAGATTGAAATAATAGAAAAAAAATCTTTCAACAACAAAGCCCCGCATAAATGATATAGATTCGCAGCCAAATTCCACCAGACATACCAAGAATAAATGGTACCTATTCTGCTAAAACTGTTCTGTAACATTGACAAGGGAGAATCCTCCTTAACTCATTCTATGAAGCCGTGAGCCAGTGTCATCCTGACACAAAAGCCAGGAAAGGACGCTACAATGAAAAGAAAAGTACAGGCCAATATTCCTTCATAAATAAAGATGCAACAATCCTCAACAAAATTCTAGCAAACTGAATTCAGCAAAAAGATAATTCACAGCTTGGCGCCCGTAGCATAGTGGTTATAGTGCCAGCCACATACACTGAAGATGGCGGATTCAAACCCAGCCTGGTCCAGCTAAAACAACAATGACAACTGTAACAAAAAATAGCTGGCATTGTGTGAGTGCCTGTAGTCCCAGCTACTTGGAAGGCTGAGGTAAAAGAATCACTTAAGATGAAGAGTTGGAGGTTGCTGTGAGCTGTGACAGCACTGCACTCTACTGAGGGTGACATAATGAGACTCTCTCAAAAAAAAAAAAAGATAATTCACCATGATCAGGTGGGTTTTATCGCAGGGATACAAGGAGGTTCAATATACACAAATGAATAAATGTGATCTACCACATACATAGAATTAAAAATAAAAACCATATGCATTTTAATAGACACAGAGGAAGCATTTGATAAAATCCAGTGCCCTTTTATGATGAAAAACCTAAACTAGGCATAGAAGGAACACATCTCTAAATAATAAAAGCCATATAGGGCACACCCACAGCGTGGCCAACATCACACTGAAAGGGCAAAATTTCACTCCTCCTAAGAATTGGAACAAGACAAGGATACCCACTGTCACTACTTCTATTCAACATGCTAGAAGTCCTAGCTAGAAGGATGTCCAAATTGGGAAAGAGGAGGTCAAACTATCCCTGTTTGCTGAAAATATGATCATGCATCTAGGAAACCTTCAAGACTCCATCCAAAGACTCTTTTTTTTTTCCTTCACCAAGACTTTTAATTTTGATAAATTAAGTAATGTCTCAAGTTACAAAATTAATGTACACAAATCACTGGCATTTCTATACATTAATAATAGTCAAGCTGAGACTCAAATCATGAATTCAATACCATTTACAATAGCTTCAAAAAAATTTACCTAGGAATATACTTAATTGAGGAGGTGAAAGTTCTCTGATGAGATATCTTTCATCGTACTGATGATGAAAGAAATCATTGGTGATGCAAACAAATGGAAGAACATCCTGTGGTCATGGGTTGGAAGAATCAACATTGTTAAAATGTCCATTCTGCCAAAGTGATGTACAGATTCAATACACTTCCCATCAACATACCAATTTCATTTTTCACAAATCTTGACAAAACAATCCCACACTTCACATGGAACCACAAAAGAGCCTGAATAGCCAAAGAAATTCTAAACAAAAAAGATTAGATCTGGAGGCATCATATTACCTAACTTCAAATTATTCTACTAAGTTATACTCATAAAAATAGCATGGTACTTGTATAAACATAGACACACAGGCCAAGGGAACAGAACTGTGTGATTCTTGTGAAGTGAAGGGGGATTAAGTTTCCTGGGAACTAAATCATTCACTGAGTTTGAAAGTCGATATTCCCTTGAAACAGAATATGGAAGGTGTATTGCTAACCTTGAAGGCTAAAAGCAACTGCTTCTGGAGGGTCTTAATGACAGAAATGGAGGAAAAGGCATTTGTCAGATCAATAGCTGCCTACCAGGTGCCAGGGAATTGTTCATTTGCTTAAGCTATGAAACCGTATCTTGTATAGCAATTACAACTGGAGTCACCATCTGGTTAAGCTTACAATAATCCCATTTTGGTCTCCAAATTCCATTTGTTTTCTGCACAGGACAAATAAGGTAGTCAAAGGCAGATGTGGTAGGAATCACCACTCCTGCAGCCTTCAAGTGCTGGATGGTGGCACTAATCTCCCCAGGAGGGAGGATGTGGCTTTGGTTTACTATCTCCTAGGTACAGGAAGTTCTACTGTCTTCCATTTGTTTTTCCCCATTATAGTAGTCTCAACTCCACAGGTCAGGGCACCCAAAATTATAATACTAGAAATGTCAAGACCAAGTGTTTTCCTCTATAGTGTATAAATACAGGGATCATAAACAAGTTAAGTTCACTTACAAAGATGATGATGATTATGATGATCATAATGATGATTTTACTGCTGCTTATATGTATAGTGACCATAAATGCCTTAAGTCTCTGGTATGTAAAAAGCATTCTGTACATTTTTGTTATTGTCAATTCCCTGCCCTCTGAATGTGAATTACTTTGTTTTTATACCCAGTAATCTTATCCCAGAATTCTAGGATTCTGCTTTATTCCAGCAATCTCTCCTGGCCCAATAATTTTTCAGTGATGTTACAATTTTCTGATACTGATTTTTTGCCTCAGAATGCACCTGTTTAGTTGTTGCTGCTACCACTTGCTCCTCCCTAGTTCTTGTATTAGTCTGCTCAGCTGCCATAACAAATACCATAGACTGGATGGTTTAACTAACAGAAATTTATTTTTTATACTTTCAGAGGCTAGAAGTCTGAGAACAAGGTTCTGGGCAATTAAGTTTCTGGTAAGTGTTCTCTGCCTGATTTGGAGGGGGGTTCTCTTCTCACTTTTTCATTATATCCTCCTTTCCTCAGGTGTGTGCATGCCATTAGGGGGAGAGACAGAGAGAGAGAGAAACACAGAGAGAAGAGAGACCAAGCATGAGAGCAACAGAGACAGAGAGAAAAAGAGAGACAGAGAGACAAGGAGAGAGAGAGCAAGAGAGAGACAAGACAGAGAGAGAGAGAGAGAGTACAGGCTCTTTGGTGTCTCTTCTTGTAAATATACCAAACCCATAGGACAGAGTTCCATCTCATTTAGTTTGAATCACCTGAGGGTTGGGGCTTCACCATATGGATCTGGGAGGAGACACAAACATTTATTCCCTAACAGTCTTAATCCTGCCTGTTGCTGTGTTCTTTCTTGGCTTACTTCCTTTGTCCTAAAGAGTTTCTAAATTTGCTTGGTTATGACCATTTCTTCTCTATACTAACCAGTCAAGTCAATCAAATATTCCTATCTTTTCCTACATCTCGGTGTATTTTAAAGCTCTTAAGCCAATACACAGTAAATGCTGAATTCCATTTGGTTCCATTTAATGTTTTGTCAACCACTACGAGAACATGGTGTACTTCTGTGGAAAAGCATGAAATCAAGATTTAATTCATTAGTACAGATTTGAGAAACACACTTTTTCAAAGTTATTCCAACAGTCTGTTGGAGGCAGTAGAGGGGGAAGCTTGCATAGCGTTACCTGCCTCAAGAAGCTGAGTAGTAGGAAGTCAGGAATAGTCCTATTTGTCTTAATGTACTTGGTCTGACTCATCCTTTCCTGTCTCTTCTCTCTACTCTCCTACCTGCACTGTCTACACATACCAAAAGAAGAAATAAGCTTTTAGCAGTACTTTGATGTAAATACAGTAGAACCTCTGTAAGTTGACCACCCAAGGAACTGTCACAAACTGGTCGACATGCAGAGGTGGTCAACATAAGGAACTGGGCTTACTGTACTGATACACACATGTGGTGCATGTCTGGTCTGTAAAAATAAAATCAACTTAAGGACATGTTCACTGTAAGGAGGTGGTCAACTATCGCAGTTTTACTCTATTACAGATGTGAGAACTGAGTCTTAAATAAACTATTTCTAAAAGTGCAACTTGCTAATACTGTTTAAGAGGAAGAGCCAGTAAGCTGGAGACAGGTGCAACAATAGTGTTAGAGGTAACAGCAGCTGATCCAGGCTCCCTAGAGGTGGAGTAGACAGTGATGGTGGCAGCAGCAGCAATGGTGGAAAATCCCAGGACTGGAACCATAGGGTGCCGCCAAGGAGTGGGCAGGATTTGGGGTTGGGTCTTGGCTTATTTAGGAGCAACAGTCACTAAAGAATGTTATCCTTGGTCACTTATTTTGCAATGTTCTATTTGGAACCGTTGTAAGAAAGCTATTTTTGTTATATTCATGACTTCAGAATTTTAAGAAATTGATATCTTGACCCAAACTATAACTCTTTACTAAGCGTTTGGTATACATAAATTGAAGGCAGACAGTGCTAAGCTTGAATTTCAGCTCTTTTTCTTGTTAGATGTGCCATCTGAAGCAAATTATTTATTCCCCATAGGCTGCCATTTGGTCATATATTTAAAAATGAGGATATTAATAGTACCTAGTCCATAGGGTTGTGATGAGCATTCAACCAGATAATGTATATACAGTGATCAGTACAGTATTTGGCACGTAGTAAGCAATAAAAAATGTTAGTGTACAGGTGCAGGGAATAAAAAATTAACTGTTTTGCATCCCAAAGGGTGGGGTCAGGAACTGATTTCGAGGAAGCATTTTTTGCCATCTGGTTTAGACAGACATCCGAACATGAACACAAACCCTTGGTGGGATCAGTCACTGACACCCCCTCCTCATGGTATGCGACTGTTAAAATTGACACTATCTTTAAATGGTGATGCTTACAGACAGCTAAATATGATGTAATATGGTAAAGTGGGTTTAATAGAAGTATCTCAAGGTGCCATAGGAAAACAACGAAGAAAAAGTAAATGTGTAGGGAAAACTGGGAATGCTATAAAAAACAGGTGATGTTTCAGCTAGGACTGAAGGAAGAGTGAACCTCTCTAAGAAGAACAACGCATTGATGGAGGCAGAGAAATCAAAAGCAGGATTTGCCGGGAATGAGTGAGGCCGTGAAATGACCATTTAATGTTAGCTAAAGCCACTGAAGTGGTTTTGTGGTATAATGAAAAACTTCTCAGCCATATTCAGTGTTATCATCTTATTTTTATTTACAGCTTTGTTTTTGTTTCTATTTCCCTTTTAAAACTTTTAATTTTACTTTTAATGAAACCACTCTTCCCATAATGTGATATGACTGTCAAAAAAGTGAATATGGTTTTAGTTTGAATAGATAGCTAGAAATTAATAGAGCCCAGAAAAAGGGAAACGATAGACTTAAAAAAAATGTTTTTTGGTGATTCATTGAGGGTACAAAGAGCCAGGTTACAATTATTACATTTGTTAGGTAAAGTCCCTCTTATAATTGTGCCCTGACCCTAAAAGGTGTGCCACAGATAGTGACCCCCTGCCCCCTACCTCCTTCCTTCTCTCTGTTCTCTCTTTCCTCTACCCCCCACCATGTAGATCATTAATTGTCCTCATATCAGAATTGAGTACATGGGATTCTTGCTTCTCTATTCTTGTGATGGTTTACTAAGAATAATGTGTCCCACTTCCATCCAGGTTAATACAAAAGATGTAAGTCTCCATCTTTTTTAATGGCTGAATAGTATTCCATGGTGTACATATGCCACAGCTTGTTAATCCATTCCTGGGTTGGTGGGCATTTAGGCTGTTTCCACATTTTGGTGATTGTAAATTGAGCTGCGATAAACAGTCTAGTGCAAGTGTCCTTATGGTGAAAGGATTTTTTGTCTTCTGGGTAGATGCCCAGTAATGGGATTTCAGGATAAAGTAGGAGATTTAGCTTGACTTCTCCATATTTCTTTCCAAAAAGGTTGTATTAATTTGCAGTCCTACAAGCAGTGTAAAAGTATTCCGTTCTCTCCACATCCATGCCAGCATCTGCAGTTTTGAGATTTTATGATGTGGGCCATTTTTGCTGGGGTTATATGATATCTCAGGGTGGTTTTGATTTGCATTTCTCTAATAATTAGGGATGATGAGCATTTTTTCATGTTTGTTAGCCATTCGTTTGTCTCCTTTAGAGAAGGTTCAATTCATCTCTTTTTCCCATTGATATATGGGATTGTTGGCTTTTTTTCATGTGGATTAATTAAACACTAGACTCTTCATACTCTGTACCAAGTATCAAAGCATACTTTGATTACTGTGGTCAGTTCTGAGTTCATGCTTTAGGAGAGACAATGCAAACTGTAGTTCTTTCAGATGAGAGCAACCAGCATGGTGATGAGGAATTTAAATCATGACCTATGACAAACATGTGAATGCTGCAGAAGTGATTAGCCCAGAGGAGAGCAGACAGAGGTAGGGGGAGAGACGCACAGAGCCACAGAGAGTGGAGTTAGAATGAGTGGCTATGAAGCTAAGGGAGGACAATTCCACTAAATGTAAAAAAGACTTTGCTAACAAGTAAAGCTGTCTCAAATAACATGGGCTGGCTCAGGAAGTAGTGAGTTCCTCAGCATTAGAGTTGTTTAAGTGGAATTCTGTCAGGGAAATCATATAAAGATTCAAATCTTATACAGGGAATTGGGCCAAATGACATTAAGGTCCCTTTCAAACCTGAGACTTCTGAGAGTCAATATCTCTCCTTTGGGGTAGCACCCATACCTCAGTGGGTAGGGCCCTGGCCATATACACTCAGGCTGGCAGGTTTGAACATGGCCCTGGCCCAGCTAAACAACAATAACAACTGCAACAGCAACAACAACAAATAGCTGGACGTTGTGGTGGGCACCTGTAGTCCTAGCTACTTGGGAGGCTGAGGCAAGAGAATCGCTTAAGCCCAAGAGTTTGAGGTTGCTGTGAGCTGTGATGCCTTGGCACTCTACGTAGGATGACATACTGAGATTCTGTCTCAAAAACAAAACAAAACAAAACAAACAAAAAAAAAACCTCCCTTTCGAATTTTAAAGATATATACTACTAAGACCCCACTATGGTATGTATAGAAGCCAACCAAAGGTTCCAAAATGATTATAGATGAGGTTATGCACATAATCTTCATTGAGGGTTATGGAGCAGGAAAAGATCAAAGCCCTAATTATAGTCTGCTTTTGCTAGATATGCTAGCATTACAAATAATTCCAAAAATCTTGGTGGCTTACCAAGAAAGAAAGCTTTCTTTGTCCTTCTTATGACATGTTAGCTGCAGTTGGAATATAATTCTGGACCAAATCCCTTTCTGTTGAGGTTAGGCTGAAAAGAAGCCAGTATCTAACCACCGCTGGGATGATGGAACAGTACGACCACATGAGAGCTCTTAAAACTTCTGCTTAGGGTTGGCATCCCCACTTTTACTCCATTTTAGTGGTCACAGCAAGACATGTTGCAAAACTTGCCATCAAAAAAAGCAGGAAGAATGTCCCTGAAAGGAAGGAGCAGCAGCTATTTTGACTAAATGTAATGTATTACATCAAGTCGTGTAGTCATGGTTTGACATTTGACAGTTCCACACAGTGAAATAAATGACTTCTAAGAAGCAAGACAAACCTTTTTATATAGCATTTATTTTGGAAGTGCTTCTGCCTTGCAAAAGTCAGGGTAATCTAAAAACCCAACTACCTACTTCACTGCAGGAAAGAAAATGGAATTCACAGTCATTCATAGCAGGTATATTTGAAGAGTTGTAGAATAAAAGCATTCCCTGTATTTCATCATTGACTGTGAAGAAAGTTATAGGAATATACATACACATAGCTATCTAAATATAGTTAATAAATACCTTGTATTTGAAAAAGAAAGTTTTGAATAATTCATCACAAAGATAGGGAGTTCTCTGCAAGTCCACGACCAGAAATACTGGATGACGGT